CGAACTCATTCGGGAGTGGTGACTTTCCACGTATTCCCAACTTCTGAGCCTGCTCGCCTGAAGTTATGGTTGATTGCTCTTCGGGCTGGAAATCAACACATCCATTTAACATAAACTACGCCAGAGCACGTACACACCTCACGCACCGGATGCCGTGCACATGCCCAAAGACAGTTGGACGTAGTGGAGTAGTGGAGGTAAAAAAATTATATAAATACTGTTCGGTTTCTGGCACAAACCAATCGTTTCGTGTCTTAGGATATCAATGTGTCGTCACGAGCCGCAGGGTTTCATTTGGATTTGTCTGTGCATGTTTTTTTTACTCTCATAGATTTTTTTACAATTGCCATGCATTATACGACTGATGGACAGCAACAGTTGGAGTTAAAAATCATCATATGTGTTCTACTGAAGAAACAAAGTCACCTACATCTTGGATGCCCTGGGGGTAAGCAGATAAACATCAAATTTTCATTTTTGGGTGAACTATCCCTTTAAGTGCAATAAGTTGCAGAAAACAACTCTTTGTCTGACACACACCTGAAGCGTGCACACAAACCGTCTCTCGGATAGCGTGTGATTGCTTCAGTTTTCTTCTGCGCCTTATTACACTCGAACGGTCAAATACACAGAGTTATGTCAAAATGCCTGTCTTGACAAGTATTCATGTAAACACAGTCGGTTATGTCTTAAGTGGGGCTACACAATTAATCGAAAATCGAATCAAAATCACAATTAAATTGTCTGGTTTAGTGCGATTATGAAATAGGGAAGGCTGTTATGCGCAGCTTGTCAGTGAAGTACAGCTCTGTGATCATTAGTAAATAATGCTCCATCTGAAAGCACTGTGAGTTTGAATCGCTTATAACGTGCATTTGAAAAAGCAACAAGCGCCAAACATAAGAAGCATTTATGAACATCTTGTCCAACAAAAGACAACATTTAATATAATGTTTTTACTCCAAACTCACTTTATAATGTCAGTCGAGTGTTTGAAATAAAATCCATCCGTGAGACGATGTGGCTTCTTCGTGATATGTGTCGATTAGCACTGCATTATAAATATACTTTATTATGATAATTATAATAGTAAGAACTCATAAACCATATATTGTCGTAGTCGTGTGTTTATTAGTCATGTTGAATCAATGAAAGGAAAGCAGTTCAAATTTCTGTTTATTCAGCAACAGAGACAGGGACTTCCTGGAATGATGTGCATTTTCTTTCTTTCTTCTGTGCCCTCTGGCCTTCAGATGGAGCATATTTTTTATATTTTTAAATATGATTTAAATTGATTTCACACACTTAAAGTAATAGGCCTATCATATCGTATATCGAATATCGCATTATTAGACAAACAAAAGAAACTGTAATTGAGAAAAATGCATCTGTTTGGGCTATGTAGATTTAATTATCATTATTATTTTATCTTAGAGTGTAGCGGATACTCTGGCATACATTCAAAGTAACTTGCTCGAACAACGATACAGGTAAAGTTCTTCCACTAAAATTTTAGGAAAAATTTATTAATTTCCATTTGAAATGCTTTCTATTTTAGAATACATTCAGGTGTTATTGCATGACTTTTGTAGGCTAAAGTATACGTTTATGTTGATCTCATCTCCATTGGCTTGTATCTGCAAAACATTTTCTCAGGAAGGGCTATACATTTTTGCAAGTCGGATATAGGATGAATACAAAATATTCTGTTTTGCAGATATAACAAGACCCCTTTTTTAGGAGAGGAAAATCATTTCAGAACAAATTTAGTAAGCCTTCCACTGTGCAATGGTTAACTGGCTTTCATTGCTGTTTTAGTTGTCCCAGTGAGGATTATGGCATTCAGTGTGTACAAGCAACATGTAAACTTCTAGAGAAGATCTGCAAAAGAATTCATTACTACAGTCATGCACAAAATTTCACTGATATTCCTGTTGCTTGCATGAACCTAGTGGCCTCCGTGTCAGGATTTGCCCAGGTATTCCATTCTGCAATTTTTGTTTTAAATAGCTCATTAAAGCCAGTAGAATTGACTCCATATGTCTAAATATTTGTTCAACCTTAAGGCGAGACAACAAGCTGACACTTTTCCTGAGAAGACTCTTGTGTTACTCAATGAGGCCAAGAAATCTGTGAGGACATGGATCAGACAAACTTTCAAAGGCAGACTTTTAGACAGTAGCTATATGTCGGCTGTCAGCTTCACAAAAGAGATTGAGGTAAACAGAACAAGTACAGTTGAGGTCATAAGTTTATATATGCAGTACTAAATAAAATATTTTGCCTTAAAATATGAACACCAATCATACTGCTATTTTGTCTTGTGCACTGTATGTAAACATTCACTTTTGTGTGAAATAGCTTATTCAGGATGGTGATTTTTAAAAAAAAAGCTTTATTATGATAATTATAATAGTAAGAACTCATAAACCATATATTGTCGTAGTCGTGTGTTTATTAGTCATGTTGAATCAATGAAAGGAAAGCAGTTCAAATTTCTGTTTATTCAGCAACAGAGACAGGGACTTCCTGGAATGATGTGCATTTTCTTTCTTTCTTCTGTGCCCTCTGGCCTTCAGATGGAGCATATTTTTTATATTTTTAAATATGATTTAAATTGATTTCACACACTTAAAGTAATAGGCCTATCATATCGTATATCGAATATCGCATTATTAAATAATGTATCGCATATCGCATTTTTCTTCAATATCGCACAGTCCTAATCTGCGGTTAGATGAGATCTTGTCACGTTATATGTCTGTGTCACTAGTTTAACATTATTTTGATAACTTGTTAGAAAATGAGGTCTCTCACCTCAGAAAAACAAACTTTCCTATCCTGTCAGCCGTGATACTGCGCTCGTAGCGAACACTCTTCAATTGCAAGCGCAAATCTGGTGGCAGACTGTATATCACTTCATAACAAAGCGTGAAAGAAACGACGAGCATGCAATGGCGTAATTATGTTGTCAATTGGAAAGTTACCAACAAGAATCAATACATTTTATTTACAATGCCTTGCGAAAGTATTCATACCCCATTCATTTTTTCACATTTTGTTATGTTGCTGCCTTATGTTAAACTGCTTTAAATTACAGTTTTTTTCCACATCAATCTGCACTCCATGCACCATACTGACAAAGCAAAAGCAGAATTGTCACAACTTCGTAAATTTATTAAAAATAAAAAAACTGAAATAAGTACATTGCATACGTATTCATACCCTTAACTAAATATTTCACTGAAGCACCTTTACAGTCTCAAGTCTTTTTAGTTTAATACGACAAACTTTGATCATCATCATTTGGCAATTATCTGCCATTCTTCTCCTCACCTCTTCACCTCTCAAGCTCTGTCAGGTTGGATGGGAGCAAATGCACATTTTCAAGTTTCTCCACAATTATTTGATTGAGTTCAAGCTCATGCTCTGGCTGGGCCACTCAAGGACATTCACAGAGTTGTCTATAAGCCACTCTTGCTGTGCGCTTAGGTTCATTGTCCTGTTGGAAGGTGATCCTTCTGCCCAGTCTGAGGTTCTGAATGCTCTGGACTGGGTTTTCATTAAGGCTAACTCAATATTTTGGTGCTTTGAACTTATCTTCTACTCTGACGAGTCCCTCGGTCCCTGCCACTGAAAAACAGCCCCACAGCATGATAACATCTACATGCAATATGAATGCTCCTGAGCTAAATTTCAACTGTCCCAGATAAGGGTATGAATACTTATGCAATGGAATCATTTAAGTTTTTTATTTTTCATAAATTTGCAAAGATGTTAAAAACCAGTTTATTGCTTTACCATTATGGTGTATGGAGTGTAGATTGATGTGGTTGTTTCGTCTGTAGGGAAAAAGAGCCACAGTGGCTTTGGTTGCAGCAGCTTCCATTTTTATTATTGATACTTTGTACCATTTTCCCAGGAAGTGACTTATTCACTTGAACATATGGAATGGAAACAATGCTTTATTCGCAATGATATTATTATTTTATGTTATATTTAGGTTATGTAATATTATTTTGTTTTATGCGATATTCCAATTTTTCACACAAGTTAAATTCACAACTTTAGATGGAAACAAAGCTACCGTACAAACTCCCAGTACACTTCAAACGCACTTAAGACAGAATGTCTTAAGCAAAAGCACATTTATCAACTTCAATAAATGTGACTAGACATTTAACCTGGACTACTGAAAACTTTGATATTTCAAAGTGTTTCTTTGTACTGTATATTTGTAATTATGGGACTCTCTTTGTTTTTGTTTTTTACTCTCTTTAGGAAGATCATCTCGATCAAATTGAGGTTTATTGCTCAAAGATTGGGAAACTTAATGGCTGCCAGCCTTATTTGGTGGATAGTGTAGAGAAGTGTGCTCTCCAGGCTGTTACCACAATATGCCAGGTAAAGGTCTTTCACTTCATTCTCACTGACATCATGAGTCATGCAGCTTTATATAAATATTCATTATAAAATTTAATAAAATGGTATTTGAACCGAAGTCTAGTCCAGGTTGAGGATTATTTTCCTTTTTGTACCTACAGAATTTAGTGAATGCATGCTGGCTTGAAATATTTAAAGAAATAGTTCGTTAAAAATTAAAATAATGTTATAATTTACTCACCCTCGTGTCATTCTAAGCTCACTTCTGTGGTGTGCAACAGGAGAAATTTTGGATAATGTTTGTATTATTTGTATGTGTGTGTGTGTGTGTGTGTGTGTGTGTGTGCGGTTGTACAACTATCTTTGTGAGAACCAGTTTGAGTTTAACCATCAGAGTGAAGACCAAGAGTCTAAAGTGAGGACATTTTGGCCAGTCGTCACTTTTTGGCCCCCATTTAAAGGGCTGTTTGAGGGTTAAGACTTGGTTTTAGGGTCAAGGTCAGGGTTGATGTAATGGGGGGAAGGTTAGGATGATTCCAAGGGCCCTGATTAGAGATGGGCGTGTGTGTGTGTTGAGGTTTGAAATGTTTTGATGACATAATTTTTTGGAGTGAACTAATCCTTGAAGTTATAGCACAGGGACTGAAAGTAATGAGTTTACCATTCATTGGGTGATGAGCAGTGTTTCTGCAATACATTAATCAATGGTCTTCATGGTTTTTGTATTAATTTTTCCAAGTTAAATGACTGAAAACAGTTGTTATAGTGTCTTGTGTGTGTGTGTGGGATTGAATATGGGAAGACACTTACTGTACAGATCTTTTGAACAGACTAAATCTGAGGGAAAACTTTTTGAGAGATTCAATAAATTGCGGATTAACTGGAAATTTGGAAAGCTTGTATCTACCATCATCCTAAAGTCCTGGCCAAAAGATGACACGGGAACCTATCTGCAGGAAGAAGAAGTTGTTCTCAAACATCTTCTGGGCTGGACTGCAGCTAAGAATATCTTTCAGCTTCATGGTAATTATATGGGTTTCCTCTGCATGGCATTGCTGTGTTGTGAGTTTACAGCCTTTTTTTATACAGAAGAAAGAGTCTCATATATATATATTTTTTGCTCTGCAGGTGCTGATGAAAAACTGATCGATCAGCTTACTAACGAGGCTAAAGAGAAATTTGCCATGGCAACCTCATTATTCGCAAACATTTTAAATCAAGTCATAACAGGAAAAATAACGATAAAGCTACTCAATCACATACTGCAAAAGAGGAGTGCTTTCTTTGAGCTGCTTAATTTAGGTAAAAATATCTCACACATGAGGTTTGCCCCATTTACCATACTATAATATGAGGAGTCATTACTCTACTGTTTTTACAGACTGTTTTTGTGAAAATGAACAATACAAGGACACCATTGCCACGAGGAGACTTCTTCAGTCTAGACAAGAGGAGGTGAAGGCTATTGGTCATGAGAGAGCATTGGTAAATGCTCTCATAACAATGTGCCGCAATCTGCAAGAGCATGTGATGGGTAGAGTATATGCTACAGTATCTACTTAACACCTGACAATAATAACTCACTTTTATACCGAGATTTTAATACTAAATTTGTTCTGTTTTACAGTTGATTTTGAAGGGTTGGAAGAAAAGCAGAAAATTTACATTGATGAGATGTACCTGGACGAGTTTATGGAAGTTCATTCATTAAATCAGATCCCCTCTGAAATGTCGGGAGTAGTCACCTACTTTGACCTTGAAGATGATGTTCGATCAATGGCAGAGGTTCTAAACAGCTATAAAGACAGCTACATTTTCAAAACGTGTTGGGTGAAACAGACAACTTTGTTTGTAGAGAATGCTAAAGATGATGGAATTATTCCTTCAGAGGAGGAATTGGTTATCACACTCGAAGATCTTTATAGTGAAATATTTGAACCATGTTATGATGCCTACAAAAACATATACACAAGGCTTAAAGATGGTAGCATAACGTTTGAAGAAGTTGATGTAACATTCAAAGCCTACCAGGGAAAATATGATGAACTGGAAGTAGAAGTTGCAATTATATGCAAACTGAATCGCAATGATGACCAACGCTGGGTCCAGACACGAATCCAACAGATCGAGCAGTACCATGAGCTCCATCTGGCAGTAGAGGCAGCTCAGGTGGTCATGATGGTCAAACAAACACTCGGACTACAAGGAGACTTTCAAGTTTTGGAGAAGTTGCTTGTTACTGTAAGTCATCTAATTTTTGACATTATGTTTCCTACTGTCAGATAAATGCATTTCAATAAAAAAATAAATAAGACGTGGTAAACCCATGAGGCTTTCTACCCTTCAGACACACTTGGATTTTAAACAGGAGCGTCTTGACAGCATAGACAATGAGTTGATGCAGGCAAAAACTGTGCTTGTGGACATCACAGAGTCCCGTAGACTGTGCCTTAAAGAGCTTGGCCTCAGAAAGAATTTTGTTATTTGGGTTAAAGAGGCTCTTGAAGGTAAATAATAGGTGTTTGTTCTGGTTATTGAATGTGATTTCTTTCATTCTTATGCTGTTTTATAAAAAAAATGTATTCCTTTTTACACCTTCAGACATAAATGAGTTGAAAGTCTTTGTGGATTTGGCTTCCATCTCTGCCGGAGAGAATGATTTGGATGTGGATCGTGTGGCCTGTTTTCATGATGCAGTTCGGGGCTACTCCTCAATGCTCTATGATTTGAAGCCAGATGCTGGCTTCAAGCACTTTAAAGAAATGCTGAAGAAACTATGGAAGGCACTTAACAATGATCCCAACCTCCCAAAGAAATTGGTAAGAGTATGAATCAATGAATGAATGAATGAATGAATGAAGAAGAAAATAGGTTCCCTTTCAAGGGAACTTCGAACTGTGTCCTCTAGGGGTCGCTATGGGGGATGCCTCATCGTAACCCGTGTCTGAAGCATATATTCAAAAAACACCAACAACACGTTGGCCGGCGACAACCCATGACGTCACTACCAGTGCGACTATAGTATAAATAGGCACCGGGAGAACACATCATCATCTTCTTCGTCTTCACTGACCATTTTGTTTGAAGCGTGCATTTCCGTGGTAAGAGCGACCTTTATTCCTTCATTGTGGTGAGCACTAGCAAGGCGTTTAGAGGATGTGTGCATCCGTATCGTCGTTATTTGACATCTGATGACACACACGATTTTGGGCGAGGAGCACGCACGCGATGTCCTGGAGGGGGCAATCTGCGTTCACTGCGAGCGTTTTCCAATGAAAAAGCTCTGCTCTCGTTTGTCTCTCTTTTCGAGGAAAGAAGGGCAGCCATCGGCTCCCCGCCGTTCAGGGCCCGCCGCAGCTGGGGCAGTTATTGACACACACGATTTTGGGCGAGGAGCACGCACGCGATGTCCTGGAGGGGGCAATCTGCGTTCACTGCGAGCGTTTTCCAATGAAAAAGCTCTGCTCTCGTTTGTCTCTCTTTTCGAGGAAAGAAGGGCAGCCATCGGCTCCCCGCGGTTCAGGACCCGCCGCTGCTGAGGCAGTTATCTCTCTGCTCATAACCCTCCAGCTCAGGTGAGCCTTCCTTTCTTCCTGATCTCCATACAGAGATCGTGGAGAATGAGCTTGTGGGGATCGCAGGTGGATCTGGCCGATGAGATTAAAGAGGGGCTTTCCCCCTCGCGCTCATTGGCTGTGGACGAGAGTGAGCCGCTGAAGGATGATGTTATTTCATTTAACATCGTCTGATCCAGGGGCCAGTGCTCTGCTGAGTTCGACCCAGGAAGAGCAGGAGATGTCTGAGGAGGGCAAATAAGCTGAGGCTGAGCCTTCCCAATCCTCCTGCCCTGTGTATGATGAGTTTTGGAAGTTATGGATCGTGCCACTGCGAGGCTTGACTTGCCATGGAAGCGGGCCAAGAAAGTGACGTCGAGAGGTCGTCTCGATGAGCACTATCTTGCTGCCCATAACCCTCCAGCTCAGGTGAGCCTTCCTTTCTTCCTGATCTCCATACAGAGATCGAGAAGGAATGGAAGAGGCCATTTTACTCACGCATCCATCGATTCCAGCATACGAGTTATGCCAACATCGAGGAGATACGCGAAAACGGCTATGAGAAGATGCCCCCGAAGAAGAGACGCTGGCTAGCTTTCTCTCTATGGTGAGACATTCTCTCACGCATCCATCGATTCCAGCATACGAGTTATGCCAACATCGAGGAGATACGCGAAAACGGCTATGAGAAGATGCCCCCGAAGAAGAGACGCTGGCTAGCTTTCTCTCTATGGTGAGACATTCTCTCTTAAGACTCCCTCCTGACCATCTAAGTCCCTTCAGGATACATCTCGCTTGAATGGCAGGGCATACGCAGCAGCAGGTCAGGCTGTCGCTTCGTTGCACATGATGGCGGTGCTCCACGAAGGTCCAGGTCTGAGCCCGAACAACACAGGGGTCCTGGCCCACCTCGGTCTGAGGATCAGAGACGGGCACAGAAGGCTAGTGTCACGGCTCACGCTCCTCCCCCATCTGTGGGTAGGGGTAGGAGGAATCACGGGTCAAAGGGAGGTAGGCAAGACCTAAGGGATGTGATCCAGACAAGGCGTCAGCACTTTTGTCCGGATCAGAGTGATACTTGAGTATCTACTCATTTCCTTCGGGGGTCTTACATTTGCCCTTATCTCTTCCCCTTCCTAATTCCCCTATAACCACCATCTCTCCACCTGACCGAGGTTAGGTAGGAACTTCCTGCATTACAGTCTCCTATGCTGGACCTATGATATTTGGTTGGTTACTGATGGTCTGAACTAGAGGCTTCCTCGGGTCGCTTCTTGAACGGGGCTTCTGCGCGGGAACCATGGTGGGTGAGTACGATCCATTTCTAATATATATATATATATATATATATATATATATATATAATGCGCTGGTGGTTGTGTGTATAATCCATCTGCGAGCCTTCTTTGCAGTGTTTTCCGGGACCTGTGTGTTTCTGTCCTTTTCTAGGGTAGGTCCTCGGTGAGCACCCCCCTCTGCTGGATTCAGAAACTGGGTGCTCGACTTGCAGTGTTTTCCTCACTCGTCGATGTTGTATCCAGCTGGTATGATAGCCCTGGTTTCGGCTTCATGCTTCCTGGATCATGCGGCCAGGTCACAGGCTTCTGCGGGAGCCTTCTTGATCATCAGGCCCCCGGCACGGCACTGCAAAATCTCCTCGATGTCCGGTTTGGGCTTATGCTTTCAGGCTGCCCTGTCTCGTACGCCATATCTAGGTCGCCCTGAGGGGCTTCCTGGTCACCAAGATATCCCCTCTTGCTGAGGCATCGAGCGGAAAGTATAGGTGGCATTTGCGAGAACCTTCTTGTGTAATGCTGTGCTCCCCTCACCTTAGAGGGTTGTATTTGAGTTTGCCTCTCCCGTTTGGTTCAACACTTCTAGGTATCTGTGAACAGATGCTTGGGAAGCTCTTTAATCCATGCTATGGTAAGTGCACACGCTAAGCTTTGTGCACTTTCTGAAATCCACATGGTGGTAAGTGTGCATGCTAGACTCTGCGCACTTTCTGAAATCCTGTATGGTAAGGGTTACACGTTATTAACCTCGTTCCCTTTCTCTGAGTTGGCTTAGACCCCGGTACCTTGGGCTCTGTTGACATACTTTTGAAGCATCACTCCCCTCACCATTGAGGGTTATTGTCAAGTGTGCACACTGAGCACTTTGCGCACTTTCTAAAAATCCACATAGTGGTAAGTGTGCATGCTAGACTCTGCGCACTTTCTGAAATCCTGTATGGTAAGGGTTACACGTTATTAACCTCGTTCCCTTTCTCTGAGTTGGCTTAGACCCCGGTACCTTGGGCTCTGTTGACATACTTTTGAAGCATCACTCCCCTCACCATTGAGGGTTATTGTGAGCATGGTGCTGTCTTTCGAGCGTTTGAATTCTCTCCCTTGCTGAGGAGTTGGATTCCTCGCTCTGTGGGCTGTTCTCGTGGTAGTGTTTAGCAGTGCTCCCCTTTATCAAAGGGTTGCCTATGAGCACGCTACTCCTTTTCTGAATTCGGAGTTCTCCTCTCACGTGAGAGTTGAGTTCTCTGTTTTTCCAGAGCACCTGGAACCAGCAGCATCAGGCGAACTAGGCCCTTCCTCTGCCTCTCTGAGTTTTTGGCTAGCTTGCAGTACACTTACCCTTCTGATTTATAACGATCATGCTGTAGGTCGAGCCCCCTCTCGTTGAGAGCTGGGTGTTGTGCTCCCTCAGCTAGGTAAATTACTGCTAGCTGTTCCAGCATTGGAACATGCTGTAGGTCGAGCCCCCTCTCGATTGAGAGCTGGGTGTTTGCTCCCTCAGCTAGAGATTTACTACTAGCCACTCATTATACCTTAGATCGAGTTGATGGCTTCTCAAACATAGTGTTTTTGGGATGCACCATTTCCATCTATGGGCTGCTCTTTCAGAGTGCCACGAGGGCCCCTTAGAACAGTATTTTTAAATCCATGTTATGGTAAGTGTGCACGTGAAGTATTTTGTACACTTTCTAAAATCCACACTGTGGTAAGTTCGCATGCTAGTACTACACAGTTCAAAGTAGTGGGCGCAGTTTAAAGTTCCCTTGAAAGGGAACGTCTCTAGGTTTCCTGCCATGCTTCGAACGCAAGCTTCAGATGAAGAAGTGGATGATGTGTTTTCCCGGTGCCTATTTATACTATAGTCACACCGGTAGTGACATCATGGGCTGTCGCCGGCCAACATGTTGTTGGTGTTTTTTGAATGTATGCTGCAGACACGGGTCACAATGAGGCGTCCCCCATAGTGACCCCTAGAGGACACAGTGTCACGTTTCCTACTCAGGGAACCATGGTTACATACGTAACCGGAGACAATTTTCTTGTTCACCAACATTTTCTCTGTTTCAGTGTGACTCTGCAAGACACATAGAATGGTTGAAAACAGTCAAGGAGAGTCATGGGTCAGTGGAGCTGTCATCTCTATCTCTGGCATCGGCTATCAACACAAAAGGCATCTACATTATCAGTGCACAAAATCAAAAGAAGGTTTGTCATTACTGTTTGAGTTTAAATAGATGTAGCACAGATGATGCACACAGACATTTTTAAATACATATGTGTATTTGATAACATGGACTGGATTGTCGATTAAAACCAGTTTGAAGTGGTAGGTTTACTTTGGAAAATGCTAACTGTTTTTTGTTGTTGTTTTTTTTGCTTTTAATGCTTTATTTTAACATAACAAAACAATAGAAGAAACAGAACAATGACTACAGATAAATTCCACAAGTACATTCCAACATAAACCACAACTTTAAAAAGAAATATTAATTTAAAGGTTCATGTTGACCTGCCAAGGTTTTGCAAAAAGGTACCTGAAATCCTGGGACCTATATACTTGGAAAAAATGAGTCCTTGTCTGATAAAACATGTCCATTTTCTCTTTTGACCAGTATGTAATATATTCCAATGAAAGAAAATCAAATATTACTTTATGCTACTCCGACACTGTCACCGGTTTAATCAGAGATCCATTTGAGAACAATACTCTTACGAGCAGCATAAGTAAGGAGATTAAACAACTTCCTGTTCAAAATGCAACACCTAACAACAAATAAAGTGGATTGATGTCACATCCTTTATTAAATATAAGACTTAGTCCCCTACAAATATGTACTCAGTAGGCTTTAATATGTACACATTTCCAAGTGCAGTGAACAAAGTCACCCTATTCTTCTTTGCACTTTAGACAATATGGAGAATAGTTTGGGTTAAACTTATGTCTGCATAATGGAGTAATTTGGAGACGATGTAAAAGTTTGAACTGTAGCTCTTTAGTTCTATTTCAAATTTGATATATTGCCAAAATAATACCAAATTTGTGTCCAAGTCTACATCAATTGACAGACCCAAATCTTGCTTCCAAACAGCTAGGCTTGCCTCATTATTAACTTTTGTTTGTTTTGTTAGAAGAACTGCCTGCAGGAAATTCATATAAAAGTGGGTCCATTAAGCAGTTTAAATCCCCTGTCACTACAGACTGTGTACAAGCAAACTCTGCTAACTGAACAAACACTTTAGACATAAAATCAGGAGGATGGTTCAGAGGCATATGCACATAAGTGAAATAAAATGTCCAAAAAGTAAACCTTTTATCAGAACATTTCTCCCACCCCTGACCTTAACACAAGTTTCCAATATAAAAGGCAATTTTTTTGTAAATACTGTAGGAATGCATACTCCCCTACTATTAAGTAAAAGATGAAAAAGTACCTTGCCAACCCAGTCTCTTTGTAGTTTCACATGCTCTGCATCTTCCATATGAGTCTCTTGAAGCAGAGCTATATCAACTTTATTTTCCTTCAAAAAGGAAATAACTGTCTTTCTCTCGATTGGATTATGCATGCCCCTAGTAACACGCATGAAGATGAAGATAATTCAAAAACAATAATCCGAAGAGGGCAAATACAACTGAAGAACGGGGAATCCAAACACAGCAACACAAAGACCAGACCCGACAATCCCCTTGTCCAAATACTCGCACTTGCGGTCTTTGCACTTGACCACTTTACTAATTATATGACGTATTTCCTGTATTTGGTCCAAGTGTTCAAATGAGCATGAAGACCACAAGTGTGTGTAGATCATTACCTGATGGGACACACTTATAGTGTTTTGAAAATGCAAGAGTTTACAGAGCTTTATTTTAATTTTCAATACTTCGCATTTTAAAACCAACTTCTAAAAGTCTGTTCAGTATTCCCTATAACTGATGACACAGTTTAATTTTGTGGTGCTTCTAATTCAGTTAAAAAAATCAGTCGCAAATGTTGTACAAAATAAGTATTACCACTACTCATTTGCAGCAATAAAACGTGCAAATCTTTTACTACCAATTATAAGTAATATCTAATTATTATGTAATACTTAACATAAATTGGAAAGGTTTTCGTGACCTCTCGCGAGATCTCGCCAAAAAGTCTCACGATTTATTTCCAGAACATGATGCATGATGGGATACACTAAGCCTCAAATACCATTCCGGATTTAGTGTGCGTTAAGGGCACTGCGCTTTGGCGTTTTTAAGACCTGGGACTTCCTGTTGTGCGTATTTGGTGGGTATTTGGACAAGGGTATTGAAACACAAGGAGGACATAACTTAAGTAGTGACGATAACAAGACACACCTGAACATAATCAAATGAAAAACCATGACGACAAACAAGGAGCGGGAAACAGTGCAAGACACAGACAAAGTTCATGGTGATGTGACACCCGTACATGCCACGAGCAAATTTTTTAAGTTGATTGGTCCATTGTTGTAGAAACATTTCATGCTGATGACTCAAATACTTAAGCAGCAAAACCTTAGTGTAAACTTATGTTGTCTTCATTTGAACACAACTATGTACAGAACTACCAATATTCAAACACAAGCATACATACCAAATAAACAACAAAAAATCTACATGAGTAAATCAAAACCAAGATAAAGAGAAAAAAGGGGGTAACCATCAGAGGTATCAGAAGACCCTAAACCTGACTGTGTATGCAGGTGCATTGTTCCTGCTCCGGCATTCAAATAAGTCCAAACAGCCAATCACAACAGTGTCTTTCATTCATAATAATCATTTAGTCACCCTTGAAAAAAAAGATAAATCTCTTGAGTCCAGTGATTCAATTCAATTCAAGTTTATTTGTATAGCGCTTTTCACGATACAAATCGTTGCAAAGCAACTTTACAGCAAATTAAGTTTCTACAATATTTAGTGGTAGCTTATCAGGCGATGTCAGGCTCCCGAAGTCCCTCTTCAGTGTCTCCGTCTGCTGCAGCTTGGTGTCATTAACCCCCGCGTGAAACACAACCGCTCCGGTGCTCTTGTCGCCCTTCAGGATCGCGGGTATCTGCGCAGAAACATAGAGAACACGAGCACCAGGGAAACAGTGAGTGTGCACTTTACCTTCAACTAACGTAGCACGGACGTGCCGGACGATGGAGTCTCCGATGATCACAGCGTCGCGTTCCGTCTCGCGGAGGGGAGCGAAGCGGTTCCGGGTGGAGATCTCGAAAACCGGAGGGGGAGAGGTCGTCGCCCTGGGCCTGGCTCGCGTCTTTCGCTGCGGGTGCACATATGGTCCGTGGTGTCCCGGTGAAGGACATTTGGGAAGATCAAATGTCTTGGGTGCACCGGCCCTGTGAAGAAAAACACACGGAGTAGAGGTGGTGGGAGAGTTAGCAGCGCGCTGTATACTTACCTCGGACTTGTGACCGTCAGCCTGGGAAAGCCTTGGCGGCTCTCCGCTCTCTCAGCTGGGTCTGCCTCTCCACCAGGTCGCGGATCTGCTTCTCCACAGCCTCCAGCTCCGAATGCAGCTCAAACGTGTCCTCACCTGCACTCAAAGGTAGACAGTCATTTCGCCATTAAAGCAAGTAACAGTGAGTAAAACAATGGTAATGTGTGTGAATAGAGTATTAGCAATGTAAGCGAGATTAGCGGCAACCACGCTGGCGATGCTAACGGGCTATATGCTAATAGCGGACTCGGAAATCAAAATAGAACTAGTGATAAGGCGCTCTGATTGTTTTTGTTGTAGAATACGATGGGGGATATATTCACACATTATAGAAACGAAAATGATGGTGTATATAATTTATTTTAAGATAAAAAATAGACGATAATGAATTATCTTGACGGAGCTCAAACTCAAAAAACACACCACAGTGATCAAACCACCGATGCATCGCTCATGTCAATGGTTGGAACGTACAGAGAGTCAATAAAAGTCATCCCTTTCTCTGGGCTCGCCATTAAAGCAAGTAACAGTGAGTAAAACAATGGTAATGTGTGTGAATAGAGTATTAGCAATGTAAGCGAGATTAGCGGCAACCACGCTGGCGATGCTAACGGGCTATATGCTAATAGCGTCTATATGCTAATGCACATCTGCACTTTGTTGTTTATGATGAGAGAATTCGCGTGAGAGCTGAATTCAGTCAGCGAGCGTGTGAACTGAACAAAAACTCATCTGAACGCCTCTGATTGGCCATTGCATTCATACGCTCAACAGATGCGTGTGTGATTGTTTATAATGCACAACACTGTAAAAACGCATAAAAAATCATGCCGCAACACTGAGCAAATATAAATGTAATGCTGCGGTCAACACTTTTCATTTAATTTGCATTTTATATGCGACAGCCGTAGTGGATTTAGTTTAACTGTACAGCAGCATTTGTGTCTGTGTGTTGCCATAGTTTCTACAACCGGAAACTGAGGATATGCGGATATTACATCATTGATTGGCGACAATGACCAGGGTCATTCTTTAAAATTGGAATTTCTCTGGATTTACAAATCCTGGGAACTTTTGGAAAAACATAAATACACAACTGCATAAAATATATAACACTGTGCATGTAGTTTTTGGATATTTTATTACGGAAATCTTACATATTGTACCTTTAAGATATTTTGTGAATATGGCCACAGGTTTCCGGTTCCAAACTACTTCAGGCAATTGACAAGATAGACTATCATCTGGTGGAGACCTGGTCATCTTGATCAAGATCTTTGCTAGGAAAAAAAATCAGTTGGAAAGTGGTTGTGCTGATATTTTAAAAATGGGAGCTGATTTGTTGCAAGACCAAAATGGTCATCCAGCTCATTCAGGTCCCCACCAGTTGATAATCCAGCAATTACAAACCTAATTAACCAGCTTGAACTAACTACAAAACCAGTTAATAGGTTCCAAATCACAGCTTCCACTTAAGCTGGTTTTAGCTAGATAGTTATACCGTTTCCTTGAGGAGCAGTGACATTCTGCAATAGCTCAATGCTTATTTTTAGTTATCTTTATCATTATTAAATGGCACAATTGATGCAAATATTACTTAAGAAATATCAAACCTTCAATATTGCTTTTTTCAGTTGTGCTTAGAAGATATTCTGAAGCTACATATTATGGAAGAGCATGATGAGGGCTGTGAGAGGCGTATCTATTCTCTGGAAGACCTCAGAGATCTTCAGAATAAATTGATGCTAATGTCTGGCAAAGGAGATCAGGGGCAGTGTGAAGTCGATCAGTTTTCAGAGGTGACTTTTTACTTTTTAGATGTTTTATTTTGTTATGTTTTACCATGGCTGTTGTAATTATTCCCAAATTAACTTCTTTCATTTTTCCAGGTCTTTGCCAGTGTACAGAGGTTGGGCTCTGTATTCATTGATTTGTTTGTCGCTGGAAATCCATTGTTCAGACACTGGGAGGCAAACATCAACTGTAATAGTAAAGAAGCATGCATCATTATGGACTTCAATTTAGGGAATGTTGTCAATGTCATCATGGTGGAAGGTGATGTCACAGAACAGTTACCGGAAGTCTGTAAGAAAATGGAGAGCTGCCTATGCTTCTGGAAAGATTTTATGGACAAACAGAGATCTCAGCATTATTTCCTAAACTATTACACTGCAGAACAGATAGTCTACCTGTGCCATCAGCTCGCCCAGAGCAATGTGGCTACAATGGAAGATCAAGTTCTTATGATGCTCTCCTTTATCAAACCTAATTGTACCACTTCAGGTTTGAGACAGGCTTGGCACAGGCTTCAGTATGAAGTAATTAAGAAGGGTCCTGAGCAAAATTATGACTTAGACTTTCAAACTTTCATGGAAGTATCCAGTATGATGGAGAATGTGAGTATTGAGAAGCCATGCCTATTGTTTGATGACTTGACAAGCCAGTTGGGGGATGCTATTGGGTCAAAAAAGCTAGATGTGATTTGGAATGCTTACATGCGGAACATGAACAATTTTCTGCCAGACTCCCTTGATGTCAGAAATCTTGGATATCTACTTAAAATTTTGGCCAACAGCCCCAGCGAACACAAGAGTGATTCCTCACAGGATGAGAGAACACAGTACATTCAAAGAGAACTTCCAAATGGAATGGCTACTGGAAGACCAAATCTAATCATCTGCCCTCCTGAAGAAATTCTGATAGCTTGCATTTCAATTTATATGAGCAGCAAGAATGAGCCTCTACCAACCTATGATGAAGTACTCCTCTGTAGTGCTTCCACTCCATATGAAGAAGTGGAACTTTTCCTCAGGCGCTGTCTCTTTGCTGGCTACAGGGGAAAGAAGATATACACAATGCTCTATGTGGACCAACTTACCTATGAAGTCAGCTACAAAGTAGAGCAATTTTTTCAGCATCAAAATGCACGGAGCAGAAAAGATTACAGGCTTGTGTTGGTCTGCAGCTCTAACAGAGAAAATGCATACCTTCCTTCAGCTTTTAGTCAATTTAGATTGCACTTAATTCCCCAAGAACCAATAGTCAGTATTCAGCGATACCTTGTTAGGCATTTTACAGTACCAGCTGATATATCCAGTGCTGCTGCTGTGTTCAAAGACAGACAGTGTGTGGGAATCGTATCTTCAGAAAGATCAGGAGTTGGTGAGTATATATATTCAAATAATGGAGTTAAAAATTGGCTAGTTTTCATAATTTGTGTTGGCTAAATAATGTACCCTTTCAAGAAACAAAGAAAAACAAGATTTTGTTTTTTGTTTTTATGAATATATTTATTTTTGCAAATAGTGTAAGATGCTAAATTACATCTGTGTGGTGCATTTTAGGAAAATCACTATACATTAAACGAATGTATGAGAAATTGAAGAAGATCACAAAGAAGCCTTCACAGCTGAAGTGCATCAGATTAATTGAGCCAAGAGTTGATGAAAATGTCATCCTTCAGTCCTTGCTCAACAGCCCCAAGAAAAAGCTTTCAGTCTATCATTTAGATGTCACCACCATGGTAGCTACCTGATTTAGATTTTTTATTTTTATTTTTTGAAATGGAAAGAAATGTTGATGCTGTTTTTCATTATTGTTTATTTACTTACAGGTAAAGAAAGGACTTCATGAATTTCTGTTCAGGCTGCTGATCCTTGGATACCTTATGGACTCAGAAGGAAACATGTGGAAAAGCAGTAATAAGCACTTGTATGTCATCGAGATACTAAGACCTAGGACATCCCAAAATGATCGAAGAGCTGTAAGTAAACTCATTAAATCACTTAGGAATTGTTGTCATTAATTAGACAAATCCCTCATAAATTAATTTGTCTCTTCATGTTAGGGTGCAAAAGTTCCATCTGCCTTCTTGGATGTGTTTCCAAGTGTCTACTGCCGTCCACCCAAAGAGGTCCTTGAGTTAGAAATGAGAATGCAGGAAGATCCATCATTAGAACAGGGTGATGATCCTCTAATGGATGACCAAGAGTTCCAGAGTGAGGCCTACCAACGGCCTTATCAGTACCTGCATCGTTTCTACAATGGTGTCAATTTGGATGCTTTCGTGTACCAAGGAATTGAGGGAACTCATGTTGAATGCCTGCAGATGTTGTTTGTGTACTGTGGCATTGTAGACCCCTCTTGGGCAGAGTTGCGGAATTTCGCTTGGTTCCTGAACTTACAGCTTTGGGATTGTGAAAGATCGGTCTTCTGTGATTTTTCATTCATAGGGGACACTCTGTTGGGATTCAAAAATGTTGTTGTTGATTTCATGATTGTCATGGCAAAGGATTTCGCCACTCCTTCACTTAGCATCTCTGACCAGAGTCCTGGGAGACTGCACAATGACCTTTCTTCTGCCAACGAAGAGGATCTGGCTCCCTTTAGGATAAGAAAACGATGGGAGTCAGAACCACATCCATATATTTTCTTCAATGATGACCATGAGTCCATGACATTCATTGGCTTTCATCTTCAGCCAAATGCACAGAATGGGATTGATGCGATTGATCCATCAACAAACAGAGTGATCAAGCAGAACATCATGACCAGAGAGCTCTATGAGGGCCTCAAACTACAGAGAGTTCCTTTTAATATTGATTTTGACCAGCTCCCAAGATGGGAGAAAATTGAGAGACTTTCCAGGGTGTTGGGAATACAGTGGCCTCTTGACCCAGATGAAACATATGAGCTCACCACAGATAACATGTTGAAAATGTTGGCAATTCACATGCGCTTCCGCTGTGGGATTCCTGTAATAATCATGGGTGAGACAGGATGTGGGAAAACCAGGCTAATCAAATTCCTTTGTGAGATGCACAGAAGTGGAGTTTACACTGACAACATGAAACTAGTCAAGGTTCATGGAGGGACAAGCTCAGACATGATTTACACCAAAGTGAGAGAAGCAGAGGCCATGGCATTAAGAAACAAGCTGGATTATGGGTTTGACACTGTGTTGTTTTTTGATGAAGCAAACACAACGGAGGCCATTAACAGCATTAAGGAAATCCTTTGCGACAACACTGCTGAGGGGCAGGATTTGACAGGTGACACTGGCTTGCAAATCATTGCCGCTTGCAACCCATACAGGAAACACACAGATGTAATGATCAAGAGATTGGAGTCAGCTGGTTTGGGATACAGAGTTCGTGCTGAGGAAACAGATCAAAAACTTGGATCCATTCCACTTCGCCAGCTAGTGTACAGAGTGCAGGCCTTACCACCTAGTATGATTCCACTAGTTTGGGACTTTGGACAGCTCAATGACCATACTGAAAAAATGTACATCAAGCAAATAGTCGAAAGGGTAGCTGAAACCCATTCCATTGATTCAGACTACATCACAACCATTACAAATGTTCTGTCAGCCTCACAGAAGTATATGCGAACAAGACAGGATGAATGTAGTTTTGTGAGTCTGAGGGATGTAGAGCGCTGCATGCAAGTTTTTGGCTGGTTCTACAAAAATCACCCAATATTACTCTCAGAGCTTGACCAGTTTGAGAGTAATCAGAGGGCAGAGAAAAACGATCAACATCAGAGGGATACTGATGAAAGAAACCCAATTCTTTGGTCATTAATTATGTCTGTTGGTGTATGTTACCATGCTTGCTTGGAGGAAAAAGAGAAATACAGAAAAAAAATGTGCAGGTACCTTCCAGAGACCTACACCCCAATGAAAGTGATGCAAGAAATCTCAGTTATTCAGGATCTTTTTCTGAGTGGTGTTCCACTGGGTGAAAACATTGCCCGAAACAATGCCTTGAAGGAAAATGTCTTCATGATGGTGATTTGCATTGAATTACGAATACCTCTCTTTTTGGTTGGAAAACCTGGAAGCTCCAAGTCCTTGTCTAAAACTCTGGTTGCAGATGGCATGCAAGGCCAAGCAGCCCATTCTGATCTGTTTAGAAAACTAAAGCAGATTCATCTTGTTTCCTTCCAGTGCAGTCCTCATTCAACACCAGATGGTATCATCAATACATTCAAGCAATGTGCCCGTTTTCAGGAAGGCAAGAATCTATCAGAGTATGTCTCAGTGGTAGTTCTAGATGAGATAGGCTTGGCTGAGGATTCCCAGAAAATGCCTCTGAAAACTTTACATCCTTTGCTGGAAGAGGGATGCATAGATGATCAGCCGGTACCACACAAGAAGGTGGGATTCATCGGTATCTCGAACTGGGCTTTGGACCCAGCCAAAATGAATAGAGGGATATTTGTTTCACGTGGTGATCCTGATGAAAAGGAGTTGATTGAGAGTGCAAAAGGAATATGTTCCTCGGATGCCATGATCCTTGAAAGGGTGAGAGATTACTTTCAGCCATTCGCCTGTGCTTACCTGAACATCTGTAAGAAACAGGGAAAAGGGTTTTTTGGCCTGCGAGACTATTACAGCTTGATAAAGATGATGTTTGCCGTTGCCAAAGCGAATGATCAGAAACCTAGTGCAGAGCAGATTGTGAAGGCTGTGCTGAGGAACTTCAGTGGCAAAGATAATGTTGATGCGGTCACAGTTTTCACCAACAGACTAAATATCAAACCCAAGCTTGAGACTATCAGTGCCATTGAGCTTGTAAGAGAGAACATCACAGCCATTGGACAAGATGAGGAATGCAGATACCTTCTGGTTCTTACCAAAAACTATGCAGCCCTTCAAATTCTTCAGCAAACATTTTTTTCAGACCAGTACCAACCAGAGATTATCTTTGGTTCAAGCTTTCCGAAAGATCAGGAGTATACTCAGATATGCCGCAACATTAACCGTGTCAAGATCTGTATGGAAACTGGTCAAACCGTTGTGCTTTTGAACTTGCAGAACTTGTATGAAAGCTTGTATGATGCCCTCAACCAGTATTACGTTAGCCTGGGAGGTCAGAAATATGTGGATTTGGGTCTTGGAACCCACAGAGTCAAATGCAGAGTGCACAGAGATTTCAGGCTCATTGTCATTGAAGAGAAGGACATTGTGTACAAGCAGTTTCCCATTCCATTGATCAACAGATTGGAGAAACATTATCTTGACCTCAATACTGTACTAAAGAGTGAGCAAAATGACCTTGTTGAGAAGCTTGAACAGTGGGTTCAATGCTTCATTTCTGTTAGAGGCAAGCATTCAATTGCTCCCCAAGCACGCCATTACCTTCCAGCTGATGCTTTCATTGGCTACCACTCGGACACTTGTGCATCTGTTGTACTGCAAGTTACAGAGCAACTCAAAGGGCAGGAGCTCTCAGATCCTAGAAAAGTGATCTTAGATGAGGCTAAATTGATCCTTTTAAACTGTGCAACACCAGATGCTGTGGTTCGGCTGGACTGCACTTCGCTCTCCAATGTAGAAAGTGAGCACTTGTCAAGGGTATACTTTGAAGATCAGAAGCACAGTTCCCTTGCTGACTTCATCCTTTCTCACACACAGCAAGCAGGGCCTAGCCATGCCTTTTTCACAGAGGTAAAGCTATAGTATTTTAAATACTTTGATTATTACTCTAGAAGAGTGGTTTTCATTCGGGGGCTAGAGCCGACTAAGGGCCCATTCTTCCAATAGATGGTTTAAAACAAGCTTTAAAATAAGGTAAAACAGCTAAAAATCAAGATGCAAATTGGCACCATATTCCTTATTCTTATATAAAAAAGTCAGTTACAGTTTTAAAAAGTCATTGAAATTTCTTGAATGATTTTTTTCTAATTAAGTCACAATGTAACTGTAATATATATATCATATTTATTCATATTTATCATATTTATTAAAAAAAATCATACATATTGATTTTACATATTTATAATTATTTTACTTAGTTATTTTAATATATTGCCACTTCAAGTTTATTTAAATAAAGACGTTGAAGCCAAGCAGCTTTTTCATTACAGCAGAAGCACTAGAAATATCTTAGTCTACATTGGGGGGCCTTTAAATACTGTCTTGGATAATGGGGGACCTTTGAGACAAAACGTTTTAGAACCACTGCTCTAGAGCAATTCATAACAGTTAAATCTTAGCAAGAAACAACTTGTGCACTACGCTTGCAATCTTTTTTCTAATCCTTTAGGTGACTACATTCTCAAGGCTTCTGACCTCTGCAGAAACTGAACAGCTACAGAACGTAGTTCAAAACATAGAGCTCCTCTCACTTCAGCAATTTGACACGGAACACTCATTCCTCAAGAAAATCAAGTATTGTGCTCACAAAATCATTACATCTTGTCACATCACAACAAAAAAAGCACATTTGTTCTAAATTAAATTAATTGAAACCTTTTTCTCTGTATTCAGGAACTATTTGGAAAACACTACTGGGGACAAGATACTTATCATCCAAACCGATTTTGATGAAGGCTCCCAAAGGTTAAATGTCATTGCTTCTGCAAAGTGAGTTAAATGTGTTTTGTGGCATATTTTGCTTGTTCAGTAAATGCAAAGCAGTGTAATTTGAACTTAAAATATATTTCCAGGTATTCTTCTATCAATGAAATCAACAAATTCAGAAAAGAGGACAATCAAAAGGTTTTTGTGTACTTCATCACTAAACTACCCAGAATGGACGGTGGAACTTCCTACATTGGGTTTAATGGCGGTAAGACGAGTTTGATTTCATCAGTGACCGGCACTGTTTGTTTTAGCGAAAATCTCATCTCTAAAGTTTCTTTAATAAGGGCCATGGAAATCAGTCCACATTGATGACCTCAGAAGATCAAAAGATATTGTCTCTGATATAAAAGCCTTGCAATGTCTGACCATTAGCCAGTTGTTTAAAGAGGAAGCAGATGAGCCTGAAGGTGATGTCATTTTATTTTTTAAATATTGAGATATTTTTAAAAGGATGATCCACATTCTCAAAAAATTCAAATCATTTTTAATTGCTTGCAGCTATGGAGGTTGAGGAGATGTACATGGAAGAAGAAGAAAAGATGGAGCTAGAAGACAATACTGTGAGCCACAAACCTCAACAACAGCACTATATTTTCAGTATTTTTGTGATACTATTGCCACCCTGTTCAGTTCAGTACATGTCTAGGAAGACTCAGTAAGGGAAGATGTTTTTGTGTTTCTTGTGCTCTTCAGGGCTGGAAGTATGTTTTGGACACCACAGCACTAGTGCGAAGCTGTGTTCAGAGTGCAGTTGGCATGCTAAGAGATCAGACAGAGGCAAGCACCCGTAGCACCAAGAGAGTAGAGATTCTGCTAATGCTCTTGGCTGACAACCAGACTCTACACGGTGAGAGATCGCTGTTTCTATTGTTATTCTTTATAGCTTTCATTAACTGTCTTATAATGGATCACTGATATTTAGGTATTTATGTTACCAGCTGAATTTCTAAAAACTTTAAAGAAGCGACTTCATTTTCTGTTGATGACTCATGAAGAAAACACAATCTCTGCCAAGAGCTGGGTCTCAAAGGAAGCACTAAATACTGATGCGTTGCAAGAAGGTGGGACTTTTAGGTAAGTGTCAAGTCAAGTCAACCTTTATTTATATAGCGCTTTTAACAATAGAGATTGTGTCAAAGCAGCTTTACAGTATCAAAATAGGAAAATAGTGTGTCAATGCAAAAGGACAATAGTAAATGCTCAATTTTCAGTTAAAGGCAGTTCATCATTGAATTCAGTGATATCATCGTCCAGCTCAGTTCAGTTTAAATAGTATCTTTGCAATCAAGTCGACAATATCGCTGGAAATTAGGTGTCCCCAACTAAGCAAGCCAGAGGCGACAGCAGCAAGGAACCAAAACTCCATTGGTGACAGAATGGGGGGAAAAAACCTTGAGAGAAACCAGGCTCAGTCGGGGGGCCAGTTCTCCTCCAGACAAACCAGCTGGTTGATCCATGCTGCAGCAAAGTTTGATTGTGCAGAGGGCTCATCTGGTTCCGTGGTCTTATCCCGAAAGCTGTCTAGGAGACAAGGTCTTCACTGGGGATCTGTCTCTGGGGCTCATCTAGTTGTCCTGATCTCTGCTGAAATTCAGGGCTGTAGAGGTCATCTCAAGGTGCTGATCCACCATCTGGGCTTGATACGGACTGGATCTGGTGGCTATGCTGACCTTGGAATTAGACAAGAAACAGACTAATATTAGCACAGATGCCATTCTTCTTACAATGTAACAAGTACATTGTGTGTTATTGGAAGTGTTCCCGGTTCCGGTTGTCCTATTTAATGCAGCCTAAAAATCCTTTAACGGATTTGTATATTAGAAATGTGTTAGTGTGTTATGTGTAAGCCAGGTTAAAGAGATGGGTCTTTAACCCTTTAGGCACCAGGGTTTTTTGGAAAATCAAGATTTCAAAAGCTTGTGGCTTGAAAGGGTTTAAAGATAGAGATCTACTGTAAATTAGAAAAATGTTGGGCATGACCAAAAGTTTATGTGGGGTGTAAATATACTCATCTAATTTGCATATTATGACGTCATCAGGAGCGGCCGTCTTGAATTTCATAATATTCAGGAAATAGTAGATATTGAATTGATGTTTAAACTTATTCGCATTTTTTTTTTTTGTCTTTTTATCCTCATTCCAAATGATCAGAAAAGAGGAAACCAACAATAAAATAGGAGAAAGTACTAAATTATTACTATATTACAATACTATATAGTAGTAAAACACATGTGAACAGTAGCCTACTTTTTGATCAGTTCATCAGTAATATTCAGGAAAAAATATATATGGAGTGGATGTTTGAACTTAGTTGCAAGTTTGTTTGTTTTTTGTCTTTTTATCCTCATTCCAAATGATCAGGAAAAGA